GTAGTGAAGGTGATGAATGGGCCATGGGTCTATCATCATCCCGCTACTCTGGGCTTCTTCACAATGCTGTCAAAGTGATTCAACAATGAAAACAGAGGGGAAACTCCAACATGCAAGCATTTCTCAATTCTCTGCTGGCTTCACATTTGCTATTGTCCCAGTAGACAAAGCAATGAACATGACCAAGCCCAGCAACAATATGGTATGAAATACAGGCTTGCATGGACAAACCACAGCTACTCTAACAGTCTACTATTGCACTGATTCATGAGTGTCACTGTTTATCATTAGAGAAATACTTATATTTGGATAAACTACACAGTGAAATGTTATTCTCTTAGAAATTATTTTTCTCACTTCTTTAAAAATGTCATAGCTGTTCTTGCCCTTTGACTATAAAAGATGTATAATAAAATCATGTTACAAGTACTGGGAAAATACCTAATTTGAAAATATTTTGGTATGAAACCGGAAAGTGGTGGGTATCCTTATTCCGAAATAGACTATGACTTTGCTCATAAGAGTCCAGCTCTTACTTCTTTCCTTAACGTCATGTTTGTATTGCTCTTCTTTGCAATAAATATACCCCCAGCAGAGGCATATTACATAGGCATGGTGTGATGTAGAAGTGACAGAATAGACTAGAAAATGGTACTTCTGGCTCGGCACCTGTGGCTCAAGTGGCTCAGGCGCCAGCCACATACACCTAAGGTGATGGGTTTGAATCCCCAGCCTCGGCCCGCCAAACAACAATGATGGCTGCAACCAAAAAATGGCCAGGCGTTGTGGCGGGCACCTGTAGTCCCAGCTACTTGGGAGGCTGATGCAGGAGACTTGCTTGAGCCCAGGAGTTGGAGGTTGCTATGAGCTGTGATGCCATGGCACTCTACCCAGGGGGATAGCTTGAGACTCTTTCTCAAAAAAAAAAAAGAAAAGAAAAGAAAAGAAAAGAAAAGAAAAGAAAAGAAAATGGTACTTCTTGTGAGACAAGGAGATAGATAGTACCCGACACTTGGGAAGTAAACTTGCCATGTGGCTGGGCCCATTTGGTCCACTCCTTGCCCCTGATACCAGCCAAATCTCCAAGCTTTGCTAGAGTGACTGTTGATTGATTCGAACTATCTTTCAAAGCTCTGAGTAAATGCTTTACCATTTTCTACTACTAAATCCTAATCCTGTTTTCGGATCCCTTTCTATTTTATTTTGTTGTAGTTCATATTGCCAAGCGGAATGTCGTGATTTCCTCATTTTATATTCTATATGTTATTGCTGCTATGCATGAAGGCTATTGATATTTTAAATAATATTTCATATTTCCACTACCAGGAATTGATTTTTACATTTTTTAGGAGCTGGTTCACAAGAATATGTTCCTAACATGTACAAATAACGACTCTGTCTTTTTTTCCACCATGGTAAACTTTTTTTCTCTTTACAATCCCATTTACACCAGAAAGAATTTCTAAAACACTATGTCATAATATTGGTGATAATAGGTATGTTTGTCTTGCTCTTGATTGTCATGGAATTTTTTGTAGTTGTTTAGCATCATTTATCTGTTTATGAGTATGGGCATGCTGAGGAATATAGCCTGCTAACTATATTTTTTCACAATTTTCTAGTCACAGGTGTGTCAAACTTATTCACATGGACTTTGGTCATCTGTATATCTTTGAAACCTGGTCAGGAGCAGTAGTATCTCTACAGGAGTCATTTTCTTTATTTCTCGATTGTATCATTTGGTTCATATATGTACCACACATTTTCATCCTATTATGCTCTAGTAGAGATGTTCCTTGTCCTTGGGAATAGGACCATTTTTATTAGGAACTGGGATTGAAAAGATCCTGGGAAAATGAGTGAAACTATTTAAAAATTGGACCGTATATTTCGCAACTATTTTCCATTTACCTTTCAGAATCCATTTTACCATGCTGAAGGGATTATTTTGTTGATTCTTTCGTTGAAAAAGTAAGTTTTTATGATGCCTGTTGGCTGATGGCAAGAGAGTGTCGGTAAGAGAGAGACAAAAATGCTTAAGTTTCAACAGGATAAAAGGTCAGGGGCATCAGAGGGCTTCTCTATAAGGCTACTGCTATTAGATAAGGAGAAGACTAAGAAGAACTAAAAGAGAGAAGGAAGGCTCAAGGTTTTTACATTTTTGGATATAGGGTGTCATTTCTTGGCCAAGAGGACCAAGAGAGGTGAGACAGCACCAAGTTCTAGGCCATGAGAATTCCAAAAATGTAAATGTCAAATACGAAGAGATTTCCATGAATGTGTCTCACCAACCCCAAGTGGTGCCTACAGATGAAAAAGATAGAGAAGGGTGGAGGGCTGTGTGTGTGTGAGGGGTGGGGAGCCTTGGGATTCAATAAAGGACTAGTTGGGGCAGTTTTCCAGCCATTAGGTGCATATGAATCAAAGAACAAATGACTAAAACAAGTAAGTGAGGAGTTTACAGACGAGGAAACTGAGGAACAGAGAGAATAGGTGAGATGTAAATAAGAGTTTAAGAAAAGTGTTCAGTTACAGGCTGGCTCCAGATGCTTGTCAAGTGGAGAATCTGTTGAAGAAATAACACCTTATTTGGGCGGCGCCTGTGGCTCAAGGGAGTAGGGCGCAGGCCCCATACGCCAGAGGTGGAGGGTTCAAACCTGGCCCTGGCCGAAAAGAAAAAGAAATAACACCGTATTATGTGACTCAGCAAAGATTAGGTACTGTGCTGTCAGGAATCCGTTGCTCATTTTGGCACCACGGAGGGCTCCGTATGATTTAGCCAGTAGTGTTTCATCATGGGGGATGATGATGTCCTTGACCCTGCTGTGTGTAAAAGGACTGCGTGTGTGTTTCATGCGAGACGGTGGGCAGGGGGAGGAGAAACATCCGGCAGCGCCACAGCCGCGTTTGGCTGAAAGGCACACGTGGAGACAGTCTTGGCCAAAGTCCAGATGCGGTGAATTTCACTCAGGGAAGGAGGGTCCCAGCCCGAGAGGTGCGGAGCGCCTGCGCACTGGGCCCGAGGCGTCGCGCGCTGCGGGAGCCGGGAGACCCCCGCCTCCGCCCCTCCCCCTTCCCCCTGAACGCGCCAGTGTATGCGCCTCACCTCGCTCAACCCCTGCCTACCGGCCAAGGGAGCTAGAGAGACGGGTCCCGGAAACGCGGGTGGGCTCCGTGGAGACT